AAAATATATTTTTTTAGCTCCTACGATCCATTGGCAAGAATTCTATGTCAAATATTATAAATATTAATTCAATAATTCATTTTAAATTATTTTTATGTTCTGTAGTCAATTTTAAATCATGTACTTAATTAATTTATTTTACTTAATTTGCTTTTCTTGTTAAACGTTTTGATCAAAAGCGTACCGCACCGCTGCTAAAAAAAAAGTTAAAAATGTTTTACCAATGTTTTATTAGATTCTCCGTCATGTTTATCTGAACGAAATTCTGAATTTTTTTATACTGGTTAAAAGCTTTTACGATAAACGTTCTCGGGCCACAAGACCCACCCTTTTCCTGGAATGGCATGGTAATATTGACATGTTCGTTCGAAGATATCAATAAATCAAGGGCTGAGATAGTACCACGAGAATTTAAGGCGGAACTTAGCAGATAATCCGAATTCTGGACTAGTCGGAAAATATAAAAATGTATCTTCTTTTTGGTTAACATATTCATGATGATTTAACTTGTAATAATGTAATTTTACTTTAAATCTATGTGCAAAAGAAGTTTTTTTTCGGTTAATTTGTAATAGGATTAGCTTCAGCAGTTAGAACCGGGAAGGAGAAACCGAGGGAGGACATTTTAGCTGTCTCAAAGAACCGGGATGGCCCATATTTCATAAAGGAAATGATGCGACCACCAACCAGGCTTTCCGCAAGAGCAGATAATTCCAACCATTACTTTATCCAAGACGGCTTATTATTTCCCAGTGTTCCCTTTTTGCACTTTTCTAGACAACCCGGAATTATGACGGATGTTGTTTTTTTTTTCAACGAGAGAAACTACCGATTGTTGGAAAATTATAGAATAACGTTAGCGACGAGATTATAAATGTTATCTCTTTGATGTACTAGATGCACGGGTGTGATTTTTTAATTGAATTCACTCTAGGATGTAACACAGGAGCGGAAGGCGTCATTAATGCTACAACTGGAGTGTGACACGACGCGCTGACGGAAGGTTAAAGGCCACGCTAATAATGCAAGATGCGCGCTTCCTCGGCCCATTTCGTCGATTTCAAATTGATACTGTCTTCAGATTTTAATAAATACATCGTTTCATGCATTGAGGAAATCGAGATTCGCGATAGCAACTAAGAAGCTCTAAGCAATATCGTAGCTGTGTCTACAAACAACACGATAACAAACAAAAAATTAAATTTTGAATCCCAAGAATTTTTTTTCATAAAAATATATTAAAACGCCAAATTTCAACGATGTTAAACTGTAAAACCTGCACAAATTTAAGTCACCATTTTTGAAAATGAACTTAAATATAATTATTTGCTAAACTCTCACTTCCAAAAAACGAATTGTAAAATTAACCTGTTTATTTAATGAGGCAATAAGTTTAGAAACATTTTCCTGAAATCTGGAACGTGGTCGAAATCACAATAACGAACCCTGGTAGACGAACACTTCCAGTGAATTTAGGACACTTCGAGAAAACCCGTAAAAAAATAACCTCATATCAAACGAACAATTTAGATCCAGAAAAATACATGCAACAATAGGTCAAGTTGACAGAACTACTGATGAATTAGAGAAAGCTTTAGAAGAGATTATCCGTTCCGCCATGTTTCCAGGCGAATCTCAAGCCTTATACAGTCTTAACGTTTAAAATTTAAAAAAAATCCCCCAACCCCAGAAAAAATAATAATAATAATAATAAAAGAACGATTACTCCGAACATTTTAAAATAAAAGCTGGTGTTCCACAATGGGGCATCTTAAGACAAATCCTCTATCTCTTTTATACCTGTGAGATGCAATATTGACATTTTATAGCAAAGATGACAACATGATTTTAAGAATCTTCGAAAAAAACTCTAGTAAAAAAAGATCCTCATACCAAACAAACAATTTAGCTCCTGAAAACTAGGCCAAGTTGGCACAATTTTTCATATAATAGAGACAAATTTAGAAGAGATTGACTTTTTCGCCATGTTTCCAGGTGAATCTCAAGCATTAGATTAAAGTACGAAGATTTAAACTTTTTCAAAAAATCCCCCCTATCCAGAACTGAATTCACACCTTCTACCGCTCAGAAATAATATTCCCAATAAAGCAAAAGAACGATTACTCCGAACTTCTTAAAATAAAAGCTGGTGTTCACCAAGGGGGCATCCTAAGACCGATCCTCTATATGCTTTACACCGGTGACTTTCCATACTGACATTTTATAGCAACGCACGCGGATGAGAATGCGTGATTTTAAGACTCTTCGAGAAAACTCTTGTAAAGAAAGATCCTCATACAAAATCATCAATTTAAGTCTTGAATAAAGCACTTTACATTAGCTCAATACAGAATTACTGATATAATAGAGGTAGCTTTAGAGGAGATTCGGCCATTTTTCCCGGCGAATCTCAAGCCTTGATAAAGCCTGAAGGTTTAAACTTTTTCCAAAAAATCATCCCAACCCAGAACGTAATTCTCTCCACATACCTCTCTTAGATACTATTCCAACTTCCAAGTATAAAAAATACTGCAAACTTTTTAAAATAAAAGCTGATGGACTGAAAGAAACGTCCTAGGGACCAATCCTTTATTTTCTTTTTACTTGTGACATTGACACTATAGCAACGTTCGCGGTTTACAATGCAGATTCGTCTGTGGAAAAATAATATTTAAGTATCAACAACGAAAGTGCAAAAAATGAGCAATAGGATTGACAAATAGATAAAAGATTCGATGCTTATACTCATGTTTACAAACGGAAAAATCACAGTAGTATAATATAAACGGAAAAATTCTAAACTAGAATAGAGAACTCACAATTAAAATAATTATTTTAATTAATAAAATAATAGAACTGGCTCTGCAATATAGTCTGTACTGGTTTTTGGGAAGAAAATCCAATTTTTTAATACAGAAAAAAATCTTTTCATTCACAATAGTTATCATATATATCACGATGTGCCCAAAAACCCAAAAGAAAACCAAATATCGAAACGAGCTGGATACAAGGGAAACCGGAACTTGTGAAACGACTGAAAAGGACGAACTCCAATGAATTTGGGCCGAAGACGTAGGTGTGAATTTTAAAAGTTAATTTTTTTCAATTTAACTTCTTAACAGTTGGACAAGTTTAAACAATTATCAAAAAGCGCTAGGCGTATGTTTTCTAGAACAAAACTGGAAAACCCATACTGAAAAATAAGTCTAAATTCCAATTCAAAAGACGCATCAATATAAAAATAAATGTTTCACTTATTTTCATGGATACAAGCTAGAAAACCTTGTTAAGACAAATTCAATCAAACTTGGAATAAAACCTATAAAAATTGCCTAAAAATTGATGTTTTGAAAGCAAATTAATGTAATTCGATGTCGACTTGTCATGAAAAAAAATCTAGATTGCAAATCAAAAGATTCACGAATAGTCAATAGATAGCAAGTCTTTCGTCAATTTCAAATAAAAGTAAAACTTTTTTTTGGGGGGGGGGAGTTAGGGAAATTTCCCACAAAAAAATACACCGAGAAATAAGACCAGATTCAAATGGAAACTTTTCAAAAATATAAAGAAAGTCTTTCACAATTTTATTTCTTAGTTTTAGGGCCGGCAAACTACATGACTCATAGCCAGCCCTTCGCCAATTTAAAATCACATCAAAATAAAAAATGAATTTTGGGAAAAAATTTATACCAAAACATTGAAAAATAAAAAATGTTTCGTATTTTTTTCCAAAATTAAATAAATAAATAAAACGAAATTCTGATTTGAATTATTCACCAATGTTAAATAGGACTTTCAAATTAAGGTAAACATTATTTTTTGGTATTTATTGGAAATAAAATACTATAAAACAAGTCTAGTTTCTGATTCAAGCATTTCGACTGTAAACAAAGTATTTCACAAATTGTCAGTTAAATCAAAGCAAAAAAAAAACATTTTGGAAAAATTTACGTCAAAACATCAAGAATAACAAAATGCCTATTTTTCCCAAGATGACAAATAAAATTTGATTTTAATTTAAAAGATTCACCAAAAGAGAAAGTCTTTCATAAATAATTATTTAATATTAAATTAAAAAATATTTTTGGCAAAACAGGCCACGGAAATTTAGGCCAAAACTGAGAATTAAAAAAAAATAATTGTAAAAAATATACTATGAAATAAGTCTTTATTCCGATTCAAAATTTTCACGAATATAAAAAAGTATTTGACCAATTATCATTAACTTAAAAGTAAAAACCTTGGTGGGAAAATTTTTAAACATTGTAGGGAAATTTAAAAAATCCAATTTTGTATTTTCTTCTCACAAAATTTTTTTTAATAAATTTCGATTAAAACGATGAATATAAAAATAACCTTCGTCGATTTTCAAATATTTAAATAAGAAAAACTCGGTTGGAAAATTTTGGTGTAATCTTAATACGTCAATTTTGTTTAAATGTTGAAAAAATATATTGTCATTGATATAAAGGCAAATGGAATGATTCAAAATTGTAAATAACGTGTTCACCTATTTTCAATAAAATTAAGCTAAAAATTTTTGAAGGGGATGGCTACGGACATGGGATCATCGATTTTCATTAAACTTTTAACCACTTTTTCCTTAGGAAATTTTCTTAACGTACTTTGCTACGTTCCTCGGTACAAATTATTAAATTAAATTAAAATTATTATTATGACATATTGTGGAGAATTAAAATAAGAAAATTTTTGAGGAAGAATTTGGTCGACTTTGACGATATATAATACAGAATATTATTTTTGTGTTTTTGTAATAATGTAATTGCTTTTAATTATCCAAATTTTATATTTAATGATGTCTAATATAGATTTTTGACTTTTGAAAGGCGAGTGCATTGGGACAATTTTGTAAATTTAGCAATAAAATTTGTATAACCGGAAATTTTCTATATTAAAAATACAGAAAATTTAAATATCACTATTCAAATTAATTTTTTGTTAAAAATCATGATTTGTAAATTTTTTTGAAGTGTACTCACAGTAATTTTTCCTTGATTGTATATCAAAATTGGTGGTATGTGGGTGAAGGCGATGGCGTCGAACGATGTCTTAGGTGTCGGAAGAAATTGTGAAAAGAAAAAAAAAAGAAAAATAATTCCACACAGCGCACAACCGAGTTTCAGTTGGGAATGGTACGAGTTTGGCGGCCGGGGGCTTTAGTAGTCTCCTCTCTCCCCGCCCGCCGTGAGCCCCCACCCCCGCAGACGCCCCCGAAACCGACCGGCCACATCTTACTTTTACTTTATTTGAATTAATTAGACTCTTTATTGGTGTCTCTAGCTTGTCGTTTATGGTGTTAACTCACTTTCCCCTTGCGATTTGGCTTTTTAAAACGGACGATCCGAAATAAAAAAAAGTCGGCATCGTCGGCTCTGGCAAGAGTAGTAAAAAGTCATAAAAAAGGTTAACCTTTAAATTTGTCTTAAGTATAATAAATAAAAAACTTTATATGTTTGTGGATTTCAAACTAATCTTTAAAACCTGTTCCACCGTGAGGACCCTTTCTTTTTCTCACCCTTTAAAATAGACCTAATTTGGAACAGACGTTCAGGCTAAATTTTATATTGGGTACTCTGCAAATCTAGTCTAAATTCAATGTATACTGAAAAAAATTAAGCACGTAAATGATAATACTAGCAAAATAAAGCACAGGTGAACCAATGAAGCGAAATGTAAAAACGAGGCTGATAGACTGACATTTGTAAACTTCATCACCCCGCAGTCCTCCAGAATAAATAAGTAAATTGGTGCACATGCTACGGCTATTGGCACAATTTAGCGAAATGCTAAAACGATTCCAAGAGACTAAACTAAGATAGTAAAAAAACGTGATCTGTAAATGGTTTGGTAAATTCTGGAACAAGACTAACCGAACAAGCGAGTATAGGCGGACCAGGCTAAATATCTAACATCATTTGACACTTTCGCCAATTTCAAGCAAAAGTAAAGCTTTTTGGGGGATTTAGGCCAATTTCCAAAAAGAACATAGATATACTGAGAAATAAGACCATGTTCAAATGGAAACATTTCACAAATAAAAAAGGAAGTCTTTCGTCAATTTCAAATAAAAGGAAAACTTTTTTTTGGGGGGGGGGGGGTTTTAGGTCATTTTAAAAAACATAGAACTGGAAGTTAACTCAATTAAAAAAAAAACACCGAGAAATAAGACCAGATTCAATTGGAAATATTTCACAAATATAAAGAAAGTCTTTCGTCAATTTCAAATAAAAGTAAAGCTTTTTTTGCGGGGGGAAGTTAGGTCAATTAAAAAAAAAACATACGGGAAATAAGACCAGATTCAATTGGAAATATTTCACAAATATAAAGAAAGTCTTTCGTCAATTTCAAATAAAAGTAAGGCTATTTTTTTGGGGGGGGGAGGGGTTAGTTCATTAAAAAAACACATATACAGAGAAATAGACCAGATTCAAATGGAAGTATTTCACAAATATAAAGAAAGTCTTTCGCCAATTTCAAGTAAAAGTAAAGCTTTTTGGGGGGATTCAGGTCAATTTCCAAAAAGAACATCCACATATAGAGAAATAAAACCAGATTCAAATGGAAACATTTCACAAATGTAAAGAAAGTCTTTGGTCAATTTAAAATAAAAGTAAAGAGTTTTGGGGGGGCAGGTAGGTCATTTAAAAAAAAAAACATTTCCGAAAAATAATACCAAGTACAAATGAAACATTTCACAAATATAAAGAAAGCCTTTCGCCAATTTCAAGTAAAAGTAAAGCTTTTTGGGGGGATTCAGGTCAATTTCCAAAAAGAACATTGACATATCGAGAAATAAGACCAGATTCAAATAGGAACGTTTCACAAATGTAAAGAAAGTCCTTTTTCAATTTCAAATAAAAGTAAAGATTTTTTGGGGGGCAGTTAGGTCATTTAAAAAAAAATTGCCGAAAAATAAGACCAGATTCAAATGGAAGTATTTCACAAATATAAAGATAGTCTTTCGTCAATTTTAAGTAAAATTAAGCGTTTTTATGGGATTTAGGTCAATTCCCAAAAAGAACATTGATATATCGAAAAATAAGACCAGATTGAAATAGGAACATTTCACAAATGTAAAGAAAGTCCTTTTTCAATTTCAAATAAAAGTAAAGATTTTTTGGGGGGCAGTTAGGTCATTTTCAAAAAAAAAATTGCCGAAAAATAATACCAGATTCAAATGGAAGTATTTCACAAATATAAAGATAGTCTTTCCTCAATTTTAAGTAAAATTAAGCGTTTTTATGGGATTTAGGTCATTTCTCAAAAAGAACATTGATATATCGAAAAATAAGACCAGATTCAAATGGAAATATTTCACAAATATAAAGAAGGTCTTTCGTCAATTTCAAATGAAAGCAAAGTTTTTTTTGCGGGGGGAAGTTTGGTCAATTTAAAAAAACATATACCGAGAAATAGACCAGATTCAAATGGAAGTATTTCACAAATGTAAAGAAAGTCTTTCGCCAATTTCAAGTAAAAGTAAAGCTTTTTGGGGGGATTCAGGTCAATTTCCAAAAAAACATTGATATAAACGTAAAAACGAGACTGACTGGCCAATGCATTCATAAACTTTACCACCCCGCAGTCCTCCAGAATAAATACGTAAATGCGTGCAATTTTATGGACTAATGGCACAATGTCGTGAAATACTAAAACGAGTCTAAGAGACTAAACTAAGATAGTAAGAAACGTGATCTGTAAATGGTAATTTTGCTTAAAAGATTATTTTATTTATATGTGTATATATGTGTAAATAACTAGAACAATAAAAAGAAAAGAACCGACAACATATGCACGAATCTCAAGGTGATGTTGAAATTCTGGAACACGACTGACCGAACAAACATGTATAGGCGGACAAGGATGATCGGAAACGACCAGGCTAAATAACTAGCATCATTTGACACATTAAAATTTACGATTTGCCAATAGGGATAAAAATGAAGGTGGGAAAATCCCCCTGTAAGGACGTTTTTCATGCAGAATCTGCCAAATGAGAATAGCCGGGTAAGTATGATAAAACTGCCGATACGGGCATTGTAAGAAGGATGGAAATGGACGAGGGAGGAGATTAAGCAAGCTCGGTGTGACGAAAGAGGGAAGAACACGATACCCATCGTCTTCATAAGCTCCTGGACGGCAGATAGGGGCATTCCTGGGCCTTTTAGCATTTTAAACTCCTCGGCTCCCACAAATCGTGAAGTCTGGAAAGAAGAATATTTCAAACTAAAGCGGACTGCCTTAGATCTAGGTCTCGGACCGGAATTTACGAGGTCCGACATTTAACTATTTTATCCGATGGCTCTGCGTGACCAAGCTCTTCGTCAGGTATCAAAAAAATATAACTATCTAAATCATTAAAAAAACAAATATTAAGTTGTAAAACGCTAATGTGACAAATGATTCTATGGTGAAAATTAAAATTCGTTTGTAGACAGGATGGACAAGATAAAAAAAATACTTCTCACCCTCAAACTTTCATAGGCTGATGAATGAAAATAACCTTATTGTATAGTACAATTAATTAAGGTTTTTAGTTGAAATGAAAAAAAGTTAATGGCACGAGCGGGATTCGAACCCACGTTCTCCGGCTAGATACGCCGCTGCTCTACTACTTAAGCTACCGTGACCTTTCATCTCAACTAAAAACCTTAACTAATTGTAATGTATTAATTGGTCAAGCGGACCAGGAAATTAGTGAATTTAATGATTAACATGAAGTACACTTCACTAAAGCTCTCCGTGGCCATTTCATTTGTCGTCGAGAATCCAATCCGATTACACGACATTTGGAAAATGGAAAAAAGGAGGGAAAACGCATAAGGTTTGGTTGAGATAGGAACTTGATGTCCGAGTGGATCGAGGTCACGATAGCTCAAGTGGTAGAGCAGCGGCGTATCTAGCCGAAGATCGTGGGTTCGAATCCCGCTCGTGCCATTAACTTTTTTTCATCTCAACTAAAAACCTTAATTAATTGTAATGTATTAATTGGTCAAGCGGACCACAAAAGTAGTGAACTTATTGTATAGTTTTATGGTATATAAAATCCATTAACACAGAACGTAGCAAAACACACTCCATAATAGACACAGAAACATCAATTGGTTTCTTACTTATGGACATTACAAGACCGAACAAGACACCTTGCAGCCCCCATAATAAAAATATTTCGCAACATTCTCCATTCTAATCTAACTCAGAAGAAAAACTAATAAAACGAATAAAGAAACAACTAACAATTACTTCATTATTACAAAAGCAGACAAATGCAACGCTACAGTTGATCATGACAAAACATTTTAAAAAATTTACTATTTATACAAAGCCAAAATCACACAAAGAGGAAGAGATCCTACCAAAAACCCGTTTAAAAAAACAACAATAAACATCTTTCCCCTAATTCAATGATAATGGTGGGGTTAATACCCCAAATCAACATGCAAATGCAACAACCAAATCCGCGAATGAAGACGGGCCCAATGCCGGTTGAGCATGAAAACAACACTAGTACCATTCACAAAGAGAAGGAAATTTTATTTAAACTTAATATAAAAGTATTTTATGGAAGAACAAGTAGACACAACAATACAACTATGGGCCAAATGATTTTTAGTACAACATGAGGTATAAATCCAAAAATATCCTACTGCCTGAATACAACATAGTTAGACCTCTGGAGACATATGGAGCCCTATGTTAAATAAAAATCTGGTAAAAGAAGTTATAAAATGAATTTAAAAAAAAAATACAAAGATTGCCATGTCTTAACATTACAGGGGCAAATGCCTAACATCACCGATGGAAGTGGGATTGGTACGATTGCATGCAAACATCCAAAGTGGAACATGGAGTGAGGGTAGGAGTTAAATGCCAACATTTTCGCAAGTTGAATCTCTATGCCACACACCATAAATTGTTCAAGCTGAAATTTATGCAATATACTGTGCAGAAGGTATACTCAAATAGCGCGTAAAATGTGCATTTACTCTCAGACAGCCAGCAGCATTGAAGGTTTTAAACTCTTCCACCTTTAGCAAGCAAAATTTAAGGACAAATCTGGTACCTAAAACCTTAGAAAAGAAGACATACGATCTATTAAACAAATTACAAACACTG